TCTCCATTTCTCATTTAACAGAGTCACAAATACCTTAACACTAGAGTGTGAGAAGTTATTAAGCCAGTGAGAGAGTCCAGTTTCCACATTTCAATAAGCTATTACTATTCTCTGCTGATTCAATAAGTCTCATTAAGGCTGAGGAGTTTACTTAAGTGTTTCCGTTACATTTTAGTAAGTTTTATGGAGGACATACACAGATCACTCAATTTTCTAAGTTCTTGCTCCCTAGATGATTCTCCTTCCCTGTTCTAAGGCCCACCCACTGTCCATTTAACGTTCAATGACTCCCATGAAACCTTCACTGACCACCCCAGGCCAGAATAAAAGTATCCATTGTTTTACTTCCTGACTACACCTTAGACAAATAAAAAATGGGTGTCAGAAGTACTCTGGAGAGATGCTCTGGCCAAAGGTGAATTCTGCTCTTATCCCTTTCTGGTAGCACACTGAATCTCTGAGATTCGTGGCATAGTTGGCTTTCCATAAGCCAGAGTTGGAAACTCTAAGACTTGTGGTCCACTCTTCTCTTTAAAAGACATTTCCTTGGGGCGCCTGGGTGGCGCAGTCGGTTAAGCGTCCGACTTCAGCCAGGTCACGATCTCGCGGTCCGTGAGTTCGAGCCCCGCGTCAGGCTCTGGGCTGATGGCTCAGAGCCTGGAGCCTGTTTCCAATTCTGTGTCTCCCTCTCTCTCTGCCCCTCCCCCGTTCATGCTCTGTCTCTCTCTGTCCCAAAAATAAATAAACGTTGAAAAAAAAAATTAAAAAAAAAAAATAAAAGACATTTCCTGTCTAAGGCAATAAGGTAGGACCTGGAGAAAATTGGATCCAGTTGAGCTTGTGAGGGAACCCCACTGGGAATTGGAAATAGCACTTCAGAAAATACATCACAAGTAGTGTAACCAAGGGACACAGAACAGCAGACCCAGGAACCTGAAGCCCAAGTGCAGGAAAGCAGATGGCAAAGAGTAAGAGACAGACTTGGAGCCACAGAGGTTTTAGCTCAGTAACGATCTACTCATTCCAGTTTTGCACCCTTGTTCCCTCACCACCATCGTCAACTGTCCTACCCAGATTATAGCTCTTTTCTTATCCGGTGTCTAGAACGTCAAACTCCTTCCCTAAAACTTCCTAGTACACCCATTTCCTCCACACTGTGGATGCTTCTTGTGCACACAGGCTTGGAGCTCTTTGGACAGGATGGTCAAGAACTACTTAAGCAGCAGCACCTTTAGAATCTGCTCCTTAATGTGTATCTTGAACTACAGCCACTAACAGCAAAGTTCCTGGAGTTGACTCAGGGGCCCAGGCATTCATTTCCCACTAACATTACTACCTAGCGCACTGGCAAAAGTTCTGGTCAATAGACTTACTCCATTGTTGCCAGGATTCTTGCACCCTAGTCTGGCCCCCTTCTTTTATTAATAGGGGTTAGTTGGCTTTTGGAGACTGTATCTTAGGGGTCAAGGTTACTAACCCCTTTAACTCCTTAGCCATCATGATCTTGAATGGATCTGTGGTTCAGAAATATTCTTCTGAATCTTTTGGGAGAATTCCTAATGCAGAGAAGACTTAACATTTCCCAGATACAATTGTCACATACCCTAGTTTTGTATAAGACTTCATTACAACACCACAAAATAAAATCTTGTTCTCAGGCTTAGGTAATGCTTTTGTAAAGCTATACAGATAGCTTTTCCTACCTTTTCCCTCCACAATGTCCTCAAATTTTTCAGGCTTTAATATCAACCAACCAACTAAAAACCTATTTGTTAAGCATTTGCATACAAACTCAGCAGATAATAAAAAGGAAAGTTAAGATATATCCCTGTCATCTAGATGCTGATAATCTTCCAGAAATAATACTTCTGCCCCAGGAAGAGAAAGTCTTTGGTGAGGACAGACTGGGTACCAGATAAGAAAGAGAACAGAATTTAAAAGGAAGAAAGCAAAATCAAAGAAAAGCAATCAAACCCCAGCTAACAGTTCTCTGTCTTGCAGCAACTGGCTCAGGCACAGAGGATTTAGAATTGCTGAGAGAGAAAGCCAGAGGAGATGTGCTTTCCTTCTCTAACCTCTTTCCCCACCAGGGCAGGTGCTCATTCTCACACATCTCAAGCTCTGGAATACCCTCAACACCAGCCCCCCTGTTAATGCCATCAGTTTTCAGTTCAGTCATAACCATGTTTTCAATATATCTCAGTTCTTACAAGGGCGACTGCTTTGTCACAGATCATCTATGTTTGCCTGCTCAACACTGAAGTCCTATTCATTTGTTCCCTTTTAGGCAGGTTCTCTGCTAGTCCTTTAGCAAAAGCACCTAGGTGCTTCTCTGCCTCCCACTCCACCCACCAACTTAACCTCCAAAGTGGAAGCTTTTTGTATTAGCTGCAGCCCAACATCTGTTAAATTTTTCCAGCACCCTGTTTTCTGCCTGGGATTCCGATTTTCTTAACCCTTTTGTAGTGTCTGTGTCATTCATTCTCTGTACCAGTCACCCAGGGGTTAAAACCCCTGGAACAAATGAACTCCCCTTCTGCAGAAGCTCAGTAACACAAAAATGAGCATAGCCTCAAGGAGCTCACTGCCTAGAACAGGGCAGTAAGGATTCTTACCTAGAGGTAAGAAATTCAGTTCCTAAGCGATTTTTACTGCAGTCCGTATAAAAACGTCAAGTTACTAAGAGTTGTAATCGCAATGCGGTATGAAGTACTATCACCTCCAGTGTGTAGAGGCAGTGAGTTTAGTTTAACTAATAGTCGGAGAACTCGGGATTCCGACCCCCTACCAGAAGCTGTTGAGCACTGGGCCGACCAAGCTTAGGCCGAGAGCCCTCGTGTAACC